TATATGCATAATATATTCAAATAGTTCTACAAGATTTATTATTAAAAAAAAAAAGAGCAGTGCCTTTACCATTTACTTTTCCTGAGGCATTCATTTCAACATTTTTGCTGATTCCCATGGTATTTACCTCGATATCTAAGTAACCTGCCCATGTTTCCACTTTTTAGTTTTTAACCTTTTTGGCTTTCTGTAATGAAGCATGAAGATTTAGCCTCTTTCATTTCTTCTGACTTTGAGCACCATCCCAACTTTACACATGAACTTTTCCCTCATCTCTTTTGTTCCAAATCAATAATTTATTGCTAACATTTTTATGAAAAGTAAATGCAGAGCTGAATCATTTAACAAACTATAATTACTCTTCTTTTTGTTTGTTTTAAACAAAGGTGGATGCTGGTAGAGGAAGAGGCAGTGAGGATTTGGGAATCAATAAGGAAGATTTGTGTTGCAAAATAGAAAGAGAAATTGTTAGTTAACAGAAAGCCATAGATTCCATGAGTGGGAGAGGAGCATGAGAATATTTATTCTGCTAGCCAGGTGTAGTACTGATTAGAACACTGAAAGTCTATTAAAATGACAGGCATATATCTTACTAATAAATAGTTTTTATGCTCTTGAGGTATTGGTTTAGTCTGAAGATAAAGAAATAAAAAGAAATAGGTAGTCCCAGGAAATAATACAAGAACCAGTCACTGAAATCAAGTGACTGCCTGGGGCAAAGCATATAAAGTTTATTCTGAAGTTTTAGTGTTTTAGACCAAGACAGTGGTAATAGGGGAAACCAGAATTTATTTTTTAGTACCTTAAATTTCAAAGACTTGTGTATATTTGACAAAAAATTGTTTGTGATCATGTTATCCATCCTCTTGATACCTGTGTCACATGTTTTGGTTGAATTCCTTTTTCTCTAATATTAGATTAAATTTTTCTCAGCATAATTAAACAAAGAGATGACCAATATCATTTCTTTTCCATCAAAATTAGTCACATTATTTTCTCGCATCTAAGGAGATGATATGTTAAATCCAAAGGATCATGTTAGTTTCTTCATACATATTTTTATACATGAAAAGATTCAACAGGTATTAGTAGTAAGTGACTGCGTACTCCACATTTATTAAGGTTTAATTGTTAAAGTGTGACTAATGCTGGCATATTTCAAAATTTGGCATTTTAGGCCATTTTTTAATATTTTAAAGGTTTTCTGTTTTCTTTTTTATTAAACTCAAAATATGAGTTTTTTAATGCTGTCATTGTTTCAACCTGTCTTAATTCTCCGAACGGTTAATTCTGATAAGATTTTTACATTTTTATTCTTTCACTGAGCAAACTGGAATACTATAGGAGGAATACTATCTATCCTTTGAATATAAAGTTTTCTTTCTGAGGCTTGTGGGTTTGGCCTTGGATGATCTATTGAAAGGATGGAAGTCAGATCTGGATTTAAATTCTTTGCTGCCTACTAGCCAGCTGAATTTGTTAATAATTCAATAATATTTCTAGCAAGGTTGTTTAGAATATTACAAATAATGGAAGCATACATTAAAATAATGAAAAGACATTTCGTGTCCAGTTTAATGCCTTCCACATGTTATATGTTCAAAAATTATGGTTATTATTACTGGAATCATCATCATCTTTTTGCCCTTGGTTCCAGGTCCTAGATGTGTTTCACGAAGAGCAGATGTGCAAAGACTTGAAACACTGATAACGATTGTATGGGACAATTAAACAAGAGGGGAGAATTTAGTGTAATCTCTCCATTCTCCTAGCTGGGTGGGTGGGGGAGTTTGCTACTTTGTTGGTTTTCACCCCCCTTTTCTATAATTAATCTCTTTTATTGAAATCCTGGTTTGTGGAGTAATGAGTAAGGAGAATAATAGGGCTCTTTCTCCCTCCCAACCAGTAGAATACTTTGTATTCCAAATCTAGTATGTATTTTGGTTGTTTTTTAAAGTGAGTAGCTGTATTTTTTTAAGTGAGTATACAGTGTGGATGAATGAGATGGAGCAATGGGAGAAGGAATTGGTTAGATAATGTGATGGGGCTACTGTTTACCTTAAAAAGTTATTGGAATTAATCATTTATATTCCTTTCACCCCTACTAGATGGTAGACTTTGTGAAAAGATAAACATTATTTACTTTCTTTTTGTTCCCATAACACCTAGCATAATACATTTTATCTTTATCTTTCAGTGGTTGCACCTTTGTGCTTTGTTTTCCTTTTTTAGACTTTGCCACTTGGGGTGAGAAATGAAGTCTGGCTCATTTCTTTAGTGTTTGTGACTTATAAATGTTTGATACTCAATAAAAGGTTTGATTGAATGATTTGAATTGTCTCCAGAGTGACAGATCAGCATTCATAAGAATAAAGCAACTTTTGGCTTTATCTCTGAAAATTTATAACTGGAAGGAACCTTACAGTTGATATACTCTAGCTCTTCATTTTTCAAATAAAGCAACTGGTACCAAAGATGGCAAGACCTATATTCAAAAACATATATGGCAGAAATAGAACCCAAGCAGATTCATAGTGTCTTTCCCCTCCTTTTTTTTTCTTAGTTGTGATATTTTTCCTCCTTAGGTTACAGAAAAAGAGAAACACATTGATAACCGGCTTGAAAAGAAAATAATGCTTATTTTCTATTGTATGCATGTCTGTAGTTTGATTCTATATTGTCTAGTAAGTGTTTTAAGGTAAACATAGCATTTCCTCATTGATGATTACCATGACTGGAGTCATATGTAGTTTTCAAAAAATTCTCTGAAAAATAAAATTTAAAATTAAAAAATCAGATAAGAAACTTTTTGTATTATAATCCCCTCCACATTTACATAATAGATTGGTGTATAAAGTACTTTGGCATTCATTAAATTATTTTGATTCTGATGATAGTCTTAAGAGTTATGTAGGGCATGACTTCTATGCTGTTGGCATTTTACATTTACATTTGCGGATGAAAAAATTGAGGCTCAGTGAGACTTTATCTTGTGACTGTGATCACCTAGTGAGTAAATTATGAGGCAGAATCCTAAGCCCATATGATTTAAAGGTTTTTCAAAACTCTTTCCAATGTGGTAGTCCAAAGTCCCCTTAGTTATATACATTTAACAAAAATGCTCATGGTTCTACCCTATGACCCAGCAATTGCACTACTGGCTATTTACCCCAAAGATACAAATGTAGTGATCCAAAGGGGTATGAGCCCCCAATGTTTATAGCAGCAATGTCCACAATAGCCAAACTATAGAAAGAGCCAAGATGTCCATCAACAGATGAATGGATAAAGAAGATGTGGTATATATATACAATGGAATATTATGCAGCCATCAAAAAAAGAAATCTTGCCATTTACAATGACGTGGATGGAACTAGAGGGTATTATGCTAAGCGAAATAAGTCAATCAGAGAAAGACAAGTATCATATGATCTCACTGATATGAGGAACTCTTAAGCTCAGGAAACAAACTGAGGGTTGCTGGAGTGGTGGGGGGTGGGAGGGATGGGGTGGCTAGGTGATGGACGTTGGGGAGGGTATGTGCTATGGTGAACGCTGTGAATTGTGTAAGACTGATGAATCACAGACCTGTACCTCTGAAACAAATAATACATTATATGTTAAAAAAAGGTAGGAAGGGAAAAATGGAGAGGGGATATTGGAGGGGGAGACAAACCATGAGAGACTATGGACTCTGAGAAACAAACTGAGGGTTCTAGAGGGGAGGGGGTGGGGGGATGCGTTAGCCTGGTGATGGGTATTAAGGAGGGCACGTAGTGAATGGAGCACTGGGTGTTATAAGAAAACAATGAATCATGGAACACTACATCAAAAACTAATGATGTAAGTATGGTGACTAACATAACATAATAAAATAAAATTTAAAAAAATGCTCATGGTTGAGGTGCCATTAGCAATAACCACTGTTCAGCTGCCCTTCTGTGTCATTTCCTTTTGTCATCTTGTGTAGCAGTAACTATATATACGGTGTTCAATCAGTAGATATTGGAGTGGATAGGTAACTAAGTGGTTAGTTAGCATTGAAGTAGTAGGCTCTGCTTAAGTAAAAAATGGTAATATGTAAGTGCTCGGAATATATTTTAATAAGACTTAAAAAATCACTTCCAATTAAGAGAATATAGTGAAAAACAGATTTGATATTCTGTTGAGTAATTGGAAAACAAAGTAATCTTATATCTAAAGCAGTTGTGTTTTTTAGAAATAATTTATCTTTTAAAATAGAAAATAGAGTTTTAGAACTGTGAATAAGCTGCTTATTCTTGAAATCTTGACCTTTAGTTTTAACATTTTAGTTACCTTAGATATGTTTAAGATAAGTCAAAAAATAAAAACATAAAAAATAACTTTCTCAAATTCTAAGTATGTACAGTTATTGTTAACATCTTTGTAGAGATCTTTTCATGCTTCTTGCTCTGTATCATTCTATAAATAGAATATGTTCTATAAGTAGTTAATTCCTCTTTTAAATTTTTTTATTCAATGATATGAAAATCCTTCAATGTAAGTTGATATTAGGTCTGCATAATCCTATAAACTGACAGCATGCTAAATTATTTTCATGATTTATTATTCAAATGGTGGACATTTGTTTCAAATATTTTGTTACTATAGAATAACTTTTAGAACTTTCTTGCAGCTTGAGAAATTTCTAAGATTTCTAAGATTAGGATATTTCTTTATATTAAAATAAATTTCACACTATTTTTTATGTAATGTGTTGACATTACTTGGAATTTACTATAATTATAATTTCTGTTCTTGCTTTATCAACTCAATCTTATTTAGAATTTTTGCTCCAGATTAAAGTTATTTATTAAATAGAAAATGTTTATATTTTTTAAAATACGATTTGAAAGGGAATAGTGTTCAACAGCAAATCTATAGTATTTTGAAGAGTCAGACATGGTATTTCAGTACCTTGATACTTATTCAACAGTAAAATACTTAAATGTCTGTGTTTTGTTTTTTTTTTTTGATAGATTATCTTTCTCAAGGAATAGATCTTTCTGGAATAGAAGTAATAGAAAATGATCTACTTTTCATTGCAAGAGCTCGACTTGAAGTGGAAAATCAAGCTAAGCGCCTACTGGAACAGGGTGTAGAGACGCAGGTAATAAAAGTAATAGCACTCTATTAATGTGACAAATATGTTATAATACAGATGAAGATTTGACTTTGAGGTTAGAAAACGAATATATGCCCTCATCACTGAGGAACTGTGTCTACAGTTTGAATTGGAGGATAGGGTATAAAAGTAAGTACAGGGAAAATTTATTGAATATATGTTTATTTAATTTTAAAAATAGATTCCAAGATTCTAGTATGTAATGTATATGAGATACAGTTTATGTAATGTGTCTCTATATAGTTAATACCTGTTGAGTATGTTTATTTTGTCTGAGGCACTGTTACTTATTTAAGCCTTTCAACAACCCAGTAAGGTCAGTAGTATTATTATTTCCATTTTACAAATGAGGAAACTGAGAACTTAACTAATTTGTTGACGATCACAAAGCTATTTCATGGTATAGTTTGGATCCAGACATTAAGCACTCTAACCCCAGAACCTTGCACCATTAATAATCACTGTGCCTTTATCTATCTATCTATTTTAATTTTTATTTATTGAGAGAGAGAAAGCAGAAGCGGGAGAGAGGGGAAGAGGAAGAAGGAGAATCAGGCTCCCTGCTGAGCAGGGAGCCATATGTGGGGCTCCATCCCAGGACCCTGAGATCATGATCTGAGCCAAAGGCAGATGCTTAACCAATTGAACCACCCAGGTCCCCCCTCTGTGCCATAATTTTAAAAAATTATTTTGACTTGAGATTTCTCTAAAGGTGTCATTTTCCTGATGCTTAATGTTCAGTAGTGGAAGAAATCCAAAGTTACTGACGTAGTTGAATCAACAAATTAGATGTAATCTGTTGTTCTACATTTCTCTTGCACGCAGATATTTTCTCCATTTGTATTGGACCCAAATACAGTTATTAGTGTCTATTTTTTATTTGGAACTTTTAAACCAGAGATTGTATTTTGTGCATTTGTATTGGACAAAAATAATTTTACAAATATTTAATTCTTTAAATAGTCTCTAAATCAGGAAGGTACTTATTTGACTTCTGATTCTTAATTGTTAAAATTTAAAAAGCATAATTGAGGGTCACTTACCGTTTAAAATAAGCTTTTGAAATTATACATAATGAAAAGTGAAAAATGATACATACATACAGAATGAAACGCCACATACACACACGCATATAGAGCAAAATACTGCAATGTGAGCACATCTGTGAAATCAAGACCCAGGTGAAGAAATGGGAAACCCCCAGCACTCCTGGATTCCCTTCACTTCTCTCACAGTCACTACTGTCCTTCTTTTCTGAAGGTAACTAGTATCCCCACTTATAATACTGGAGATGAGTTTTACCTGCTGCTGATTGTTCTAACTTTAGGTCTCACTATGAAGATAAACTGCTTATACTGTTAAAAATAAGATACTTGCATTGGGGAGGGTTTATGCTCGGTGAGCGCTGTGAATTGTGTAAGACTGTTGAATCATAGACCTGTACCTCTGAAACAAATAATATATGTTAAAAAAAAAAAAAAGATAGTAGGAAGAGAAAAATGAAGGGGGAGAAATTGGAGGGAAAGACAAGCCATGAGAGACTATGGACTCTGAGAAACAAACTGAGGGTTCTAGAGGGGAGGGGGGTGGGGGGATGGGTTAGCCTGGTGATGGGTAT